AGAGTGCGAGACACCCCGGGTGGGATGGAGAAACAAGCCACCATCGCGCACCATTATTTTATTTCATTTTTGCTTCGTTCCAAAAATAATTAAGGGACATCATAACCAGCAGTAGGCACATCAGTGGGGTTTGCAGTCTGAGGCTCCAAAGACCTCAAAGAGATCCAAAGATCTCTGGTGACAGGTGCCCTACAAGCGCAGTCGGAAAGGGCCTCTGATCCGGACACCCCTTGGCTTCAGGGTCAATTTCTCATCCACATTCAGAGGCCCGGTCTGATCCAGTACACGTTGAAGTCAGTACTAAACCTATAACCAGACTAAAAGGAATGAAGACAGGGCTTCTAAACGCTCCCTCCCTTCCTCCCCATTGGAAAAGAGGCAAGAAGAAACATCGTTTCGCTTTGACTACTGGCAAACTGAAGCAGAAGACTAAGTCACTTGTCCGAAGTTACTACGGCAATCTGTGGTAGCACCAAGGAAACTATTTCTTCATTGTACCTGAACTGTTCACTGTCCACCTCTGTCCTCACCTGACCCAGTGCAACCAGAAGCAACATGGACAGTATGGCTGAACTACTTTAGCATAGGAGAGGTCGAGCACTGCAGCCCCTACGGGCTTATGAACAGTTTCAGTCAGTTCTGGTTGCAGTAGTTTATCATTTCCTTAGTCTACCAAACCAGAACCAGTGAAGCGATGAAGAGTTTAAAGCATTAAAAAACACAAGACCAAGTCTTTGGAACAGCAAGTGTCTGAGCAGTTCAAGTCCTGCTTTGGACTGCAGTCAGGATGAGATGAGGCACTGAATTGTTCCCTCTGAATATCACAAACCACATGACTGTGCCACAGCATCACACAAGGAGAGTCTTTAGTCTTCTGATGTTAATCACTGCTGTGGGGGCTTCCTGAAGAAGAGCCTTAGGTGTCTACATGCTGGTGCAGATCTTGTGTGGTGCTCCGGGCTTCAGCGGTCATTCTCCGAAATTTCTGCAGGTAGACAATGATGAAGACAACCAAGATACCCTGGAGGAAAAGGAGGATGAAGAGACAGAGCTGAGAGAGGAGAGCCAGGTTGCAGTACCAGTACTGGCATGTGGAGATGATCTCATCTTCTGTCAGATAGGCAATGACCCGATCCTGCAGGTGAGCTGGGGAGGTACATCTCACATCCCTGTATAAGGTCCGATTCTGCTGCCACTGGAGCCAGGAGCGCAAGTAGAGGATGTCACAGTTGCATTCCCAAGGGTTGCCTTGCAAGTAGACTACCTGGAGGTTCTTTAGGTTGTCAAAGAGCCCACTAGGAATAAAGGTGAGCTTGTTGTAACCAAGGTGGATAATTTCAGCTGAAGGGCGGAAAGCAACTGGCAGTTTTGCCACAGTTAGGCCTTTTGACGTGCAGTCAATAATGTTGGTGGCACACTTGCACGGCACAGGGCATGTTGGTATCACAAGTGGGAGGAAGCCAAGGAGAGACAAAAAGAGAATTCCACTGTTCATCTTCACCAGCAAACACTTCCCTGGTGAGACTGGATGAGATGGAGACCAGGCAAGCAGACGCCACACACTCTGGGACTGACACCACAGCCCAGGTCTCTGGTTGGTCTGTTCCGAGGATGAGTTTCTCAAGTTGGGTGAATTTGGTGTCCTTCACAGGGATGCAAGAGCTCTGGAAAGAACAGAGTTAAAAGAGGTGTTGTGCACTTTCTTGGTGTTTCGCTAAAGGAAAGGGAATGTTCTTGGTCTCCCTGGATTTGAAAAGGGATATGAACAGATGGCTACTGGGAGGCTTAGCTGCAGCAATCAAATTCATTTTCACTAGTCCTCAGAAGCATACAAGAGCTGCTTGTATTTTCAGCAGTACTGGAGGCACATTACTAGTGTAGCCAAGAAAATTTATGTCAAGGAATCAAAAATTAGAATATGAAACTGCTTATGCCTTACCATAACTCTGAATTACATCTGTAAGCAAAGCTTTGTTCATGCAAACTGCAAAAGGAGATTCAGAAATAAATTTACTGTTACCACAAGTAAAAGATACCCTTTCCAGTTTTCAATAGAAATGATACAGTCCCTGGCCAGAAGAGAGGGTGCTGATCACTGAATCAAGTCAGTGGAGTCTTCGATGCTGGACACTGCTCCAGTAGGTGAATAATCTCCTTCTGGAGCTGTGACTGTGCTGGAAAACACGGATCAAGGAGCTGACTTTGTATTGCAGTCTCATGCCACTGCTAAACATGAGCTGCTGTAACTTTAGAAGAACTACACGTACCTGCAGCAAGGCAGTACTTTTTTGTTCAATCTGTCAACCAAATAAAAAGAAGAGAAAAACCAACAGAAGGTAGCTTTGTTGACTTACCAGAGTAGTTCCATTCTTGCTTTCTTGCTGGCTTTACAATGCAAGACAAAGGTCTTCAGGCAGTCCAGCCAGGGCAAGAGTGTTTGCAGCTGCATAGCTGAGCTCCCGGATAATCCCTTGCAGCTGGCTGGCAAGATAAGGGTCAGGCTCACCCCAGGGACACCTCCCACAAGAGGCCTTCCTGCAAGTCTGCTGCACGTCACCGGAAGCTGAGGCTTTATTGAGCAAGTCTTCCATGAAATGGGAGCTGACACTGCTAGCAAGAACATGATTGCTGGGAAAGATGCTGACAGTACTGGTAACTGTGATTCTGGACTCACACGTTCAGACCACTAGAAACAACGCAAAGCCTCCATTGCAAAGGGGTAACTCCAAACGCAACCTGGAAGATGATGTTACTGGTTTGTACCTGGGCACTGTGGCCTTTGGTTTCCCACCTCATCAGGAAGACTGTATTTGGCAGACTGGCCAGACTTAGCACTTCACAGTGTGCTGAGACCAAGTTCTTTTTCCCTTCAAGCAGTGATACAATTCCTCTCCTAATTAGCAGTGAAAGATCTGCTGAAAGAACTGGACTTCCAGTGACCACAGTAGTGTCAGGAGTGGAGCCAAGGAGAAAAGTCCTCCAGGCACTTGCATCCTCTCATGAGTGTTGTACCAGTAAAATATAACTCTTGGCATTTCACTGTCTACGTCAAAATAAACCAGTTAGGTTCACAGGAAGGATGACAGATGGGGAAAGGTAAGTGCTTTCTGAGGGACTGCTCTTCTGATAGCCCAGTAAGTCAGCAGCTCTCAACGATTACAGCTTGCAGTTACTGAGCAAGACTGATCACATCCTTTATTGGGAAGTGGCATTACACAAATACTTTAACAGGTAAGTCCAATGGTCAAAACTGCATTTCGGCAGAATATAGTCTTCTCAAGGCGATCGTACCTTCACAAACATCTTTCTGCCATTGTCATGACTCTAGGCATCGGCCATGTGGCTTAGGATAAAGCCACGAGAATTACACTGCAAAAGTGTTGCCTCATTTTGCCCAACTCCCTATTACCTTGCACTGTGCACATTGCACAGAGCAGAAAGGATGAACACTCTGAATGCGCTGACGTTAAGAGAATTTAGGCTGTAAACAACAGCAGAATTTGGCCCTAACCAAGGGAAAATCTCTGATCCTTTAAACAAAACAATTAAGCTGTAAGTTTCCAGAAAGTTGGAGCAGGTCATTCCAGTTGTTTCACTGTGGCACGCGGAACGGGAAAGATGAACCCAGTTTTTCCTGCAGGGCCTGCTCTCCTCTTGGGAGCAGCTTGACTACCGCAGAGTAAGTTTGCTCAGCAAACTTACCTTGTCTCATGTAATTTGGTGCAACATTCATTCACGGGCAGGTGTGGCATGGAGCTCATCTAGAGCCAGACTGGGTCTGGCCCTGCATGCAGCACAGAGTCAGCAATGCTCCTTCGGCTTCTTACAAAATGGATTTCCTGGGACTGGATCCTGCCCAGCTGTTCAGTGCTGATTTAGACACCGCTCCTAGGGGAAGCTTAAAGATAGAAAAACTTCAAGATCATCTTGTCTGCTTCTGGTAAACGCAGGCCAGAAAACCTATGCAGGAAGCTCTGCCTGGAGCCTGCTCTGACAGAATGAGATAAAAGGAGAAACAGAGTCAGTCTTGCTCTCTCCTGCCCATAATGTATCACCAAAGCTGCTCGAGGGGACTGAAAATTAAACAGAAAGAGGTCAGGTTTTTTGAAGGTATTTATTTCACTGATCAATTCAGGTAGTAAACATTAATAATAATAATAACAATAGTCATTTAATAAAATGGATATGTTTTAAAAGGTTTCATTTTTCTTTGTTCACAATGACAAAATGTTCAAACAGAAATTTACAAAAAAATATATATTATAATAACCCAATAGATGGACAGGAAACAAAGAGCCTAGGAATGGAGCGGGGGATGAGGAAGTTGCACGGCAAGAGCAAGTCAGCGTTAAAGCACAGCAGAGTTCGTGAGGAGAAGCAGGGAATGCTACTGCAGAGCACGAAGGGTGGGACCCCCCCCTTCTCTGGTGAGAGGCATGCGGGGAGGCAGCAAGGACTGCATAGGCAGGACCAGCACAGCGGCAGAACATCAGGAGTTCTTGCCACAGCTCCATCCCTGGTCAGGCTCAAGGTCCAAGATGTTGTACTGACAGCCCCAGCTGCAGCCTGGGACATCTCTGCCGAGTGGAACACCGTCCCTGCAGCAACTCGCTCAGCAGGGCAAAGCTTGGCAGAGGCGTGGGAATGTGCCTGAGGGTGCAGGGGTCGCATATGAGGCTGTGGAGGGTTTTGTGAGGGGAGGTGTTAAATTACTTTCCTAACTACACTTCTCACTGCCAGAGCCAAACGGCCAAGCTATATTTGTTCAGGAGTCTCTTCCTCGCTTACTGTGCAGCCCAAAACACTCAGCAGTACAAAACACTCCTTTAATAAACAGATGCCACCTTTCAGGCCAGAGAGAACCACTGGTTCTCCCAAAGTCAGTCTCTAATACCATTCCAGGCAGCCCCCAGACTCTGGTGCTCTGGGCAAGGACCCCTGTGATTCTGGTGGTACCACTACCCCTCTGTAGAAGCCATCTCTGGTGCCTCACTCCTGTGTATTTTTTTCTAAGTGCAATTTCAACCACCTTTGCCAGCTAGTAGCCAAAGGCTTCAGCTCTCTGTGGAGGACAGACTAGTGACTATCAACTTGATGTAGGAGCTGCAAGCGCCAAGCTGATGGAGACATCCTCACCCAGAAGAACAGGGACAGATTGACCCTCAGCAATCCTGCTTGCCTGTGCTCTCACCAGCACATAGCCCTTCCATGCACAGCCCAGGATAAACACTACAGCTCTTCTATGTCCATGCTATCGGGTAAAAGTCTCCATTACCTTCTAGGAATGATTCTGTTCTAAAGAGGAACATCTCCAGCTGGACAGGGCTCATATGCAACAGAACATCCTCCTCATAGACAGGACTACCTAAGAAAATAAGGGGCAGGTACTGCAAAGTGTTTCCCATTATGCTAGCAGAGATAAAGCTGAAACTCAGCAGTCCTCCTGCTTCGCATAGCAGCAAACCAGCTCCAAAAACCTGGAGAAAGCTCCTGTTTTAGTAAAGCTTTTAGAAAGCTCCTACTCCACTGCTCAAGTAAGCACATCACCCAAAGAAAGGTTGTATTTCATCCTTAAGCACCCTGTTCCTGCATGTTATTGAAGACAAGCTGAACCCTTCCCCTCTCCTAGGCTGTCACTGTCACTAATGAGCCTAATATATGGGAGAATGAACGAAAAAACTAAGATATTGTTCAACACCACTTTTGCCCAGCGTGTGCATTTCTGCCAAAGGGCTTCCACCCTCTCTCTCTGTCCTTCTGCCCTGTGTCAGGGTCTCTCCCCCGCCCCTACGACCCATGTTCTGGCTAAGCAGAGTCTCTGTACAGTGAATAACTGGAACCAGCCAACCTACTCACCACCTGGACAAGCTTTGATCAAGACTCTAAAGCCCCATGGGGAAATCAGACAGACGCAGTGCCTAGTAACAGAATTTAGGGCCTGGCTATTCCTGGCCAACACTGTGCTTCCTACCCTGGGAGATCTACTGGGGAGAGCCAGAGATAGAGGAAAAAATATAAAAAGGGGAAGGAGACAGAGGAATCGGGCCAGGAGCCAGAGGAGCAGAAGGGCCCAGCCCATGGCAGCACTCCCTGGAGCTGGAGGCAAGAGCCAAGTGTCTCTCCCTCCAACAGCCTTGATTCCCTGCGAGCGCGGCAGTGTTGCTGGTGAGGCCTGCCCTGTCAGGCACATCACTCCTGGGGCTCTGCTCTGGCTAGACTAAAGTTAAAAATACTGCAGGAAGCAAGAACAGGATAGAAGCTGCTGCCCAAAGAGTGCTCTTATCTCTGCCCACCAGTCTTCCACCAGCAGATCCACCAGTCTTCCCAGAAGTGAGACAGGAAAAGCCTTGGACTGGGGAGGGGGAGAAGGGCTGAGTCCCAGAGGAAGAGCAAGGGAGCAAGTGCTAAGTCTGCTGGGCTGTGCTCAGCCCTGTGCAGTGACACTCCTGCACCTGCCAGGCTGACCCAACACCTGCCTGGACAGGCACATCTCTG